ACTGGGGATCCCACCCCATCCAAAGTAACCACTATCCGTTGCTGTTGTCTCATGCCAGGCGGGTGGGTGTGCCTATGCAAACAAGATCAGCCCCTGGAGTTCTTTTCCACACTCGCCATAATTCACCACCAGATGTCAGGGTAGAGCTCATCCTGACTCTGCTTACATACATTAAGAACCTTGTTATCAAATAATTTAACCCCACCATTAGTCTGAATTTCATGAAAGATATTATATAGAGAGAGCAGCGAATAATAAAAATCCAGCAAAAGAGAGTGAGCTTCATGGATTCTGAATAGAAAGGACCCTTTTCAAAAAAGATAAAAATATGCATTCAAGCCATCTCATGGCTTCTTAAACTGATGCACTCTGCACTTATTTTTTTAGCTCTGTACATACATCCGAAGGAGTGGGTATTCACCCACGAAAGCTCATGCTCCTATACGTCTGTTAGTCTATAAGGTGCCACAGGACTCTTTGCTGCTTTTACAGATCCAGACTAACACGACTACCCCTTTGTTATTTTTTTAGGTTACGTCTATAGATATTAACGTTGGCAACATTACAAATACAATTAACAGTATTTCTATAACTCCAGCTTTTGGAGCTCTATTTTCATTTGTAAAAGGATTCCAGCAGCATCTAGCACATTAGCACTATTGATTATCTGTTTGCATTTCAGAGGAAATTAGCACTGCTATCACCTATTCCAACGCTATTTAAATGCAGAATGTATGTTGTGTTTTAATTCTCTTTGCAGCGATGAAAAGGAAGTGGATAAACTCAGAATCCTAGAATGGTTAGAAAAATGGGGATGAAATATGGACAGAACATGCAAGTTTGGAATGGGTTACACCAGGGGTCGGGAACGTTTGGCACGCGGCTCGCCAGGGAAGCCGCGGCCGGCACATCCCTCGCCAGCACCGCTTCTCGCCGCCCCCATTGGCCCAGGATGGCGAACCGCGGCCAGTGGGGGCCACGATCGGCCGAACCTGCTGCGTCAGCAGGTAAATAAACTGGCCCGGCCCGCCAGGGTGCTTAGCCTGGCGAGCCGCGTGCCAAACGTTGCCGACTCCTGGGTTACACCTTTAAAACCAAAAGTACTTCAGTTTATCCATGATTTAAGTGGAAATGTCCCTTTTCAGCTAACTGATTTAACCATAGATAGAGAATCTGACAACTCTCCATTGCTGGTGAGATTATGTCAATAGCTACAGAATTGATTGATCCATTTAGACAGTGCTTGGTTAATTTAATGAGAAATGAAGGATTGCAGCCAGATCAAATTTACATTGCCAGCAAGAAAGGGATCTCATTATAATCTGTTGCCAGGAAAAGCACTGGTTTCAGGCAGCTACAGAGAAAATTGCTTTGAATTAAAACAAAAATAATAAGTACTCTGCTGGTGTATGGTAATGGAATGTGATTCATATGCCAACATTTCACATGACTGACGAATCTATGAAACTATGTTGTTTTAAGGACATCAACATGAATAATTTGTTTCATAAAGCACTCCAGAAATTGCATGGATAACTCCAGGATTTTTTAAGATGGGTATCTTTCTGAAATCATCTGAGATCATGATGGCTGCCTTTCAGAGCCTGGTTAGAGCTTTATAATACTGATTCTTATCCAGGCAGTGATAAACTGAACAGCTGAGTGCGTTGGTGTGAGTTTCTTCCTGCCAACCTGATTTTAAAATTCAGCCTATGGACCAAGTGATTCTGGTGACATCAAAAGCTCCTTCAGAGGACACTTTTTACTATCGTGTTGAATGAGTAAAATGAAGACAATTCCTTGGTAGAAACAATACATTCTGCAGCCATCAAAGAAACATTGTACATGCTGACAGATCTAAGACATGGGGAGAACTGAGGCAGCTGTCAAATGCCAACACAGAACAACACTGTTGGAGTATATTATGCATCTGAGGATAGAATTTTGCTCCAGCTGTGAAAGAATTCATAGCAACATGTGTGGAACACAAAGAAATAACAGCTACACATCTACATCTCGAAGAACAAATGAATATCAACTCTGATCTTTGAGGTGTTGATACAGAAAGATAGAGGCTCTGGTAATTAACTCACAATGAGATTTTATCAGTAGTCCTGAATGACATTTTTAATTATTACAAATAATAATGATACAAATCATGCATACAGTCCTGCAGATTTATATGCATTATAGGCTGGTCTGGTGGCACCATCTCGTAAGATTTTCCCAACACTACCCATTATAAGACCCCGTTTTCAGTTACTTATGAAACTTTGCCAGACTTGACCAGTTTTCCATGCCAGGGATCTGCCTCAGGCTGAATATTTTGCAGTAAATAAAGCCTGTGGCCATACACTGAACAATGAGGAGAAAACAAAATACTGAATAGCTGATTATTAAGTGAACACCATCCATCCTGTGCACTGAATTAGGCGGAGAAAATGTAAAAAAAAATAGCATATGATCATGTCATTAAAGATTGTATTAAAATGCATACAAATAAGGATGGCAAATTAAGATTGCACAGGCAACTTAATTCCCCAACTTCTGAGTGCTTGACTTTGCAACCTTAATAATGTTCTTTTAACCTAGTTATTTTGTGTGTAACATTAAGCTATCTTTACTGACAATCCAAGCTCCTTGAGCAGGTAATAACATTACAGATGAACATAAGAATGGCCATACCGGGTCAGACCAAAGGTCCATCTAGCCCAGTAGCCTATCTACCGACAATGGCCAATGCCAGGTGCCCCAGAGAGAGTGGACCTAACAGGCAATGGTCAAGTGATCTCTCTCCTGCCATCCATCTCCTTCCTCTGACAAACAGAGGCTAGGGACAAGGAAGAGGACAAAATTATAACAAAATTCCAAGGAATTGTGAAGCAGTGGATTGCTTCCAATAATATGTAACCTGGCTAGAGTTAAATTGTCCATCTCCCCCACAGTTTCAACCAGTTTTTAAGAAAGAGTTTAACTTTGCTGTAAAAACTGTTTTGCTAATATAGTTGTGCAAACCTGTGTGGATGGGGCTTAGAATGTTCAGCTGTTGTTGAGACCAAGCAATTATGTTAACAGCAAACATATTTTAATAACAATTTTTAAATCCTGTTTCCTAATATGGGAAAAATTGTCGTACAGATGGTGCCAAAGTAACACAGGTTGTTTACAGTTTCTGTTATCAGGGAATCAGGAGGAACAAAAAAAAAAAAACAAAAACAAAACAACAACAACAAAAGAATGTAAAGAACAAGCCTCTCTCATTGAGTTCTTCATGCTGTAGTTACAGTAACATGCAGATATTCTAAGAACTGCCTATGTGGATCTTATAAAATGCACATTCTAAGATAATCAGCTCCGTGTTTTATAGGCTAGTTGAATTACAGTACTACACACTAATTGCTCCTCCTCCGAGGAAGTCCCCCAGGCAGTTACACCAGTGAGGTTCCTCTGTGCAAGGCTCTGTGTAGGAGCATGCAGACACCCTATGTGGCAGAATGCTGAGCGGACTCCTCCATTGGATAGATCCTTCCAACCTCTTCCCATCCTGGGAAAGAAAGATGCATCAGGACCCACTGAAGCAGTCTCTGTGGAGTGGCTGCAGACACACTTCATAGCTTCAGTGTGCAAGGAGATTTTTCTCTCTACATCCATCCAGTGCCTGGCTACTTGGGCTGGCTATTGCAGCTACAGCATGGTAGACTTCCAATATGGTTAAACAGTTTGGGCTTACAATTTAGACAGGGAAGAACTGTGTCCCTAAATTATGCTACAGCCTTCAACAGCTTTTGATTCCTTCCTCCCTAGTCCCCATCAAGGCCCTATGCACCAAGCCCTGCTGCTCACACTCAGTATTTGGGATGTGAATTTGCATAAAACAGAAATCTCTGAAGGGTCCCCAAACCCTAAGGAATGGGCCTTTCAGTAACTTATATATATTAGAGCAAATTTATTTTAAAAGTTGGAAGAGCTACTTCAAAATCTTGCATGATCTTTGTTGTCTAGGATTGGGGCCTGATGCTCCACTTTCTTGCATCTTGTGTGTCATTAACACTTCCGTAAAGCGGCTGATTAATGTCACGAGATCAGAATAGCAGTGTTTTACACCCGCTTGGTACTGGCATAATCATTACAAAAGCTGCCAGGCACTGCAGAATCAGGCCCTTTGATTCCTATGTTTGTTCATTTTTTTAATTTTCTTTTTATTTAGAATAAATGAAAAGCACTCATATACAAACTCTGTAGGCCCTGCCAGTTATTTAAAATTACAATACCAAAATGCAATACGATCAAGGTTAACGATACTCTTATCTCTCTGAAAAGTAGAGATTCGTTAGCCATTAGGTAACAGCATATCATAGGAAATACAACAGATTCGTTTAACACTTTATAACAAGACTGTACAATAAATAATATATACACAGCTCTCAAGTGTTTTGCTCCCAGTATGTATGCTGATTTTGTACTGTGCTGCAGTGATTATCGTCTTCTTTTGTCTTTGTCTCTATCTAAAGCACAAAACTGTGCATATAGAAATCTTTAAAACTATACAGCACCAATTAATAGTTCATGCAAAATATTCAGGTTGATATAGTGTACATTTAAAAAGTAACTGTGTCTAGTTTACAAACAGGTCAGACTTATGGTTTCAGAGCTCCTACCTTTGGCCACATTGGATCAGGCCTTTATCTGCAACTGCATTAGGCACAGCTTCCAAGTAGCTTGGGAATCTCCTGAACCCACCTAGACATTTTGACCTAAACAGAGGAAATATATTTCCAGGAACAAAGCTGACATGAGAGAGTGTATTACCTGATTAGCACAAATTGTTCTGTTTGCTGACTGTATCTTCTGAATTTGACTTGATTCACAACATATTTTAAGGCGTGAGAATCTACTGAAAATCAATTATTGCCTGGTAAAAAAACGACAAATGAAATTTTAAATAGGATATAGTAGATCTATAAGTCACTCTTGTAATGTTGTTCCCTTTTTGTTTGCAGAGGTGTTGTCAGCCCTTGTTAGTGTATTGCTGGTATATATCCTAATGGTGGTGTTCTTATATGAAGCTGTTCAAAGAACTATCCATATGGACTATGAAATTAATGGAGATATAATGCTCATTACAGCAGCTGTTGGCGTTGCAGTAAACTTGATGTAAGCTTTGTTTCCCTACATTGATATTCCTTGTATACATTTACAAAATATAATATATAGATTAATTCATTCACAGTCTGTAATATTTATTTTTATTGAATCAGTCTCAATCACTTGGGAATTTTATTTGTATGCTAGCGTGGTTTGTTGGGTCTCTTCATGCTCCCAAAATGAGACATGCAGTAGTAATGAATGTAATATTTTTCTCCATCCTTTGGTCATAATATTTATAAATCGCCTCACTCTTATTCCTTTTCCTTTCATTTTCAGAATGGGATTTCTACTGAATCAGTCAGGTCACCTTCATTCCCATTCACACTCCCAAGTACCTGCATCAAACACTCCTAACACAGCCCACGGGCATAGCCAGGGACACAGCAGCCTTGCAGTGAGAGCAGCATTTGTACATGCCCTGGGGGACTTGGTACAGAGTATTGGTGTGCTTGTAGCTGCATACATCATACGTTTCAAGGTAGGACGTTGCTAGTCTTTTGTGACTGTGGACATTTCTTATGTTAACTCCTATACTAGATTAAAGGACCTTTTTTATAAGATAAAGAAATATTCAGTGTTAGTTGTTGTTTTTTAGTAATATAAATTCATCCAAAATGAGTAAAGATTAGACCGCTACCATGCACATATTTTCTAAATATTCTTCAACAGAATGTAAAATAAAGTGAGAGGTAAAAGTGGCTGAATCTTACTGGACCAAGTCTTTTTTGAATCTTTACAAGAAGCCTATTTCCTTACAAACTCTTAATCTGTACCTTGCAGCCAGAATACAAGATTGCTGACCCTATATGTACTTACATATTCTCAATACTTGTGGTTTTTACAACAGTCCGAATCATACGGGACACAGGCGTTATTATACTGGAAGGTAAGATCTGTATGAATTCTGTGATACTCTTATTTAATTTTACATGTCAGATAGCAGTGAAAGTTACATTTTGTGGTAATGGCTAATTCTTTGTTATTTCTCTGTTGTACAAAATGTTCACTCCGTATATTTAAATCATATTGAATAAGTGATCACAGACATCATGGTCCAGATTCTTGGATGGGTTACAACCATTTACATGGCACCACAAGCAGAACCTGGCCACAGAGCCAACTTATCCAGCCATCAGAGGATTGCCCCAGTGTAGGGGGATTATTAGTGGCACAGAGGTGTCTTAATGGCCCTATGCCTTCCCTGCTGCTATATAGGGGGCATGGCTGTGGCTTCCCTTTGCCCCGCTTTTGTTTAAGCCGTTGGGGTCACTGGGAGCTGGTATAACTTAGAGCAGTCTTCAGGCTACTTTAACTTATGCCAAATTGCTAGGTGCCTGCCTGGCACACAGCTTGCCCAGAATTTGGAAGGCAAAATTGAAATTTGCAGCACCCATTCATGCTCCCTCCTCCAGCCCCAATCCTGTACTATATGCTTCTCTGCCATAGCCAAGCATCTGACTCCACATTTTACTTAAACTTGAAAATTAAATGCTTACAAAACACAAAGAGACAAACCTGGATCAAAAAGCTGTACACACAGGCTGTGTCTACACTAACCCTTTCCCCCCTCAAATTTCGCACCATGGTTGTTGCACCATTGGTGCAGTTCTACTGGTGGTAGCAACAGTGGAAGCACAGGTGTAGATTGGTCATTGCTTTTTAACTATTATGTCTTCTTAGCCTGTGCGGAGCAGATCTAGACAACATGGTGGTTAAAATGCCAGCAGCCTCCAGTGCATTGTTTTAACGAGCAGTCCGACTGTTACTACCCCTAGTGGAAATGCAACTACGGTATCAATGAGGGAAGTATTAGGGAGAAAGGGCTAATGCAAACATGGCCGTAAAGTTGCTGGGTATCTGACACTCTGCTTTGTTGAATTATGGTTCAAATCAAAAACTCTGAACAGGGCCTCACCAATCTTGATTGTCAAATGTTTTTTCTTCCTTAATAAATAAATAAAGTAAAATAAAATAAAATAAAAGGTTCATCGACAGGGCAAAAACGGTGAACTGTGCCTACAATTAAGATGTCTCAATTAGTTCCAGGTTAGTGGTGTTGAGATTTAGCCAAAGAAAATAGATAAGACAACTAACATGTATATCAGATTTTACATTTGAATTCTAGTTGTTCGTGTAGGCCGCCTGATTGTGATGAATATATGTCTGAATTAACTATATTATTACAAGTGATGAAAGGTACTTTTTAGATCTCGTGTACTTTTGGGAACTTTTTGCACTCCATTTTAGCAACTCCAAAAACGTAGATATGAATTTGTATTGGTTTGTTCTGTCAGAGACCATTGCTAAACATCAGAGTCTGTGGGGCTGGGTAGGTTTTCAAAATACATTTAACCTAAGCCACACTGTTAAAGTGGGAATATTAAATTTAAAACATATGTGATTACCTAATATTAGCAGCTAGATTCTATTTTTTAATATAGATTTAAAAGTTGGCGGAGCGGTCTAGTGGCAGCACAATGTGCGGGATTAGAGTTTAGGCCCAGGCTCCTTGGGGCAAGAAATGCAGCAGAAACAGCCATCAGGCACTTACTTATTTAACAGGTAAGCAACTTTGCAACAGCCTTCACCAGAAAGGACAATGGAGAGTTACTCACTCTAGAGCTGCTCTTTGCATTTAATAAACGTGAGACAGTCTCAGGGCACGTCTACACTACGGGGCTAAGTTGACCTAAGTTACGCAACTACAGCCACGTGAATAACGTAGCTGGAGTCGACGTACCTTAGGTCGACCTTTTGCGGTGTCTACACCGTGCTGTGTCAATGGGAAAAACTCTCTGTCAACTTACCTTATGCTTCTCGTTCCGGTGGAGTACTAGAGTCGACAGGAGAGCGATCAGCGGTCAATTTAACGGGCCTTCACTAGACCCGCTAAATCGACCCCTGATGGATGGATCGCTGCACATTGATCCCCGGGTAAGTGGAGACAAGCCCTTAGATACTGAGCTCTCAAAAGAGGAGATACTGGAACAGGATCGGCAACCTTTGGCACGCAGCCAGTCAAGGTAAACCCCTGGCGGGCCAGGCCAGTTTGTTTACCTGCCGCGTCCACAGGTTTGGCCGATCGCAACTCCCACTGGCCGCGGTTCACTGTTCCAGGCCAATGGGGGCTGCGGGAAGCCGTGGCCGGCACATCCCTCAGCCTGCAGCCCCTTCCTGCAGGCCCCATTGGCCTGGAATGGCGAATCGCGGCCAATGGGAGCCGCAATCGTCCGAACCTGCAGACGCTGCGGGCAAACAAACTGGCCTGGCCCGCCAGGGGCTTACCCTGACGGGCCGCATGCCAAAGGTTGCCGATCCCTGTACTGGAACAAACTAGTTATTTAAGTTGCGACAAGACACCAGTTCCAGAGATCATTCATATAGGAATCCTGAAGGAACTTAAGAATGAAGTGGCTGCATTGCTAAATATATATAATTAAAATCAGCTACTGTACCATAAGACTGGAGGGTAGCTATATTATATGTATATTTTAAAAAGGTGCTAGGGATGGTTATGGGCATTATTTTAATAGTAAGAAGATTATTGGTTGGAAAAATATAAAAATAGCATTAGAAAAATATAGAGTTATAACCATCTACAGTAGATAAACATGGTAGGGACAAAACTACGTCTTGTATAAAAGAAAATCATGTTTCTCTAACACAGTTTTTTTGAGAGCGTCAACAAAATAGTGGATTACTTCTACATATTGATGGGTTCTCAATGAATTACAACCCTTGAATTGAAAGACAGAGGAGTCAATGGAAATAGATCAATGAAAACATTGCTCAATCCTTGTCATCCTATTTGTAAAAAGAGAGCAGAAATAGAAAAGGTTCAGAGAAGAGGAACAAAAATGAATGAGATCCATGAAAAAACTGGTCACACTTTATATTAAGCTTCCATTTATAGTTTATGAAGTATTAATACTCGATTAATAGATGTTTTACTAAATGGTTAAATTGGTTGTTATAAAGTCCAACAGATCAAAAGTTTTTTGTAATCATGTCTTATAATCATCTCTAACACCGTCTATACTCCTCATGTCTGTAACATGTAGAGCTGGTTAAATTTCCCAGTGGAAAATATAATTTTTGTCAAAATTGAAAGCGTTCATGAGAAATTGTTCATTCTGGCAATTTTTACAATTTTCTAGTTGTGAGAATCATATTGAAGAATTTGTTTCAAGTTGACTTTTTGAAATGAAGCAATGCTTTTTCTTTCAAAAGGTGAATTTGAAACATTTTTTCATTTTAAAGGGTTATTTGAAAATAAAAGTTGTCATTTCAAGAGGAAAAAATGTTTCAACACGTTGAATCATTTTGATCAAAAATGCCAAAATTTTCATGTTGACATTTCCAGTTTGAAATTTTTGGAATTGTTCATTCCATGTATTTTTAAAAAATATTTTGATTTTCCATTCTGATTCAGAACAGAAACAAAATTTTGAAATGTTGAGACTTTCCATGAGACAAAAATTCCAGTTTCTGACTAGTAACGTGTTCATAGAATGTTAGTAATCATTTATTAACCTTTATAAATTATTTACGAATGGAATCTTAATATAAAGTGTGACCAAAAAGCTTCCATAGTAGGTTAAAAAGGCAAAGAGTATTTAGAAAGGCTATTAATATGTGGCATGTTGGATCTGTAAATTATTTAGTGACTGGTGTAGGAAGGTCATTTGGTGCTTCTATTTTTTTCCCCCATGACATGATGAAATTAAAAGGCAGCAAATTTCAAAAACCGATAAAAGGAAATACTTTTTATACAACATATAATTAACCTGTGAAACTCACGGTCTCAATAAGATCTTGTGGCAAAGAACATATTAGGATTTTTAAAAAAGGATTAGAAAGTTACATGAATAATATCTGCAGTTACATTAGCTAGAATAAATATTTATAAGTGATATCAATCCTCATGCTTCCAGATGTAAACATCCACCGACTTCTTGGGTTGGGAAGAAACTTTCCCCAGAGGCATATTATTGCATAATTGTCCACCATGAGGGGGTTTTACACCTTCCTTTGAAGTATCTGGTGCACAGCACTGTCACATGAAGGATTCAGAGAAGGTTGGGACAGTTACATGGAGAACAAGAATATCCAGAGTAATGACAGTAAACACAAAAAATGAGTTTTGGAAGGGATGTGCTTCAAGATCTAAGCCAGTCTCTAGCTAGCAGGAGGTAGAATGAGACTGTCAGGGGTGACTGACTATTCCATAGATGCCTGCCATGGGGTTTCTTACATTTTCCTCTGAAGCATCTGGTCAAGGCAATTCTTGGAGACAGGATTCTGGACTGGATGGACCCAGGTCTGAGCCAATAGGGCAGTTCCTATGTTACTGGACTGGAAGGATTACTGTCCTGATTCAATGTGGCAATTCCTATGTTCTTTGCTGATAATTTAGATGCCACTAGACACTTTAAATGTTACAAGAACTGTTTGTTTGTCTTCTTGTGACCTGTCATAATATTTTACTTTGAAAGTCAGTGTGTGTATTAATTAGAAACAATTAATTTCCCCTCATTCTTATACTGTAGGGGTTCCAAAGCATTTGAATGTGGACCGCATTAAAGAAGACTTAATGAAAATTGAAGATGTTTATTCAATAGAAGATTTGAATGTTTGGTCTCTCACAGCAGGAAAAACTACTGCCATAGTCCACTTGCAATTAGGTAAGTAACTGCATAGTATACCTACAATGATACAGCTATAGATAAGCTTTAGCTGCAGAAAGAACTTTGACTCTGTCTTTATGCTTCTGATTAAACTGAGCTGTGATGTATGCATTTTGGGAACAAGGCTTTTAACTATCCTTTGCATAGAAAATGGCTTGCTTATAAAATACATAAAACTTCTCCTATCATGGGTATATTATAGAGAACTGTGCAAGAAAACTCACTGCTGGAAAGATCAGGAGCAAATACTGTTTGATCAGATTCATTAAAAAGGAAAAAGTTGATGCTTTTGCACAGATTTTTTGCTGGCACAAAAAAACACAGTTTTCCCACAATAGGTGGTAAAACAACATAAGACGCTTTGTATAAAAAAATCAATACAGACCTCTCTAGGGGCTTCATGCTACCCTCCCAAGTCTGATATTGCACTCAGGGAAAAAAATAGTGGGTGCTTAGCACCCACCAGCCATATCTGTTTGGCAGCACCTCCGATTAGCTGATTGGAGGGGCTGCCAAACAGCTGTTTGGTAGCTGGGGGAGGGGCGTGGGGGAGGTGGAGAGCAGCAAGTAGGCGGGCGCCTCGGGGAGGGGGCAGAACAGAGGCAGGAAGAGGCAGAGCAAGGGGGGGCACAGGGGAGTGGGTGGAGCCTTGGGGCAGAGCAGGGATGGAGCACCCCCAGGGAAAAGAAAAACTCAATGCCGCGGCCTATGTGCAACACTGTTGTAAGCCTATGACCAGAAATTCAGTGCCTGGCCAGGACAGCCTGATGCTGGTACAGGTTTGCTAGGTTTCGGAGTGGCTGGTAAGACTGTATGCTGTGCCTGTGTTTTTCCAATGGTGAGGTTGCAAGTGAAAGTCAACACCAGAGACAGAAGCTGCATTTTGTATCTTTGCTGTTCTGTTCTCTCCCCTTTTGTGTGTGTTTGTCTTGTTTTGTCTTTAGGAAACGGGTTCAGACTTTAACAACAAGAGCAATGACAGCTCCAGCCCATCTCAACTAACTTCTTTTCCTCAAAAAGGACAGTTCTTACCCTCTTTGAAACTATCTTAAAGACTGTCAAACAAGGGCCTTTTTCCTTCTAAAAACTTTATCCAGCTAAAGGGGAAGGGGACAAGGGATGTTGTTAAAATGAATGCCTTACTTAATATTTTACCTTTCAAATGCTTTAACTATTTTTCTTATTTTTGGTGTCTTTCATAAAAAAGTTTAAAGGATTTTTAAGGGTGTGTTTCCCATGATACTAAGCAGGCTGAGATCTCTGTATACCAAACCGTGAAGCTTGTTTAAATCTGTTTAATGTTGGACAGTGACTGGGCTATGTTAACACCATTACTCATTGGGCCCATATATGTCAGCTAAATTGAAACAGCAGATATCTGTCCAATACAACACATGAGGGTTTATGTTTAGCAGCTATGTAAAATGTTATATAATACAGCAGTAATGTATTTATCATATTAATCCCTTTTTGTATTGTCCATAGAAAGCATAGACAAAAAATCTTGATCTTTTTTGGCTGACTATCAGATTCTTATTTTTATCAGCGTTAAGGATCTGAGTGCAGGATCAGGGCTGAAGGGCACACGATAATGGGGCAATCATGCCAGCTGTAATGCCTAGTGAAACAGGTAGATTGTCAGATTTTTGAAGGATGACATGTATTGATAATTTTCTTCCTTTTCCAGTTCCAGGAAGTTCACGTAAATGGGAGGAAGTTCAGTCCAAGGCCAGACACTTGCTGCTGAACACATTTGGAATGTATAAATGCTCTGTCCAGCTTCAGAGTTACAAGCATGAAGTAAACAAAACCTGTGCAGGTTGTCAGAGTTCCAGTGCCTAATTTCATACATTTTGGGAACTGCTGCCTTATTCTTTATCTTGTAGTCAAAGACTAAAGAGCAATAAATGAAAAACTAACATGATTGAATGGAATCCCTTATGTGTGGAGTTGTACCAGTATTTGATGCCAGAGGGAGAACTGGTACTGCAAAAAGTGCAGGAGGTACCCTACAGATAAATGTATTTGCTCTCTCTCGCTCTGACCAATTTATTGTCAGTTCGATATGATTTTCAGACAAAGATGTTTCCACAATATTGTTTACAGGTTGTGATATGGCTCTGCAGATACCTCATCAATTACACTTCAATATTGTCCTTTGTCAATTGTGTACCACTAATGTACCTGCGTTCCAAATGGAGCATAAAGAATTCAGTATTTGACTTAAAAACTTTTTAAAAGTTGATTACGTCAGGGGTCCATAACACTTAAAGATCCCTAAAGTAGTTATACAGTATTTTTGTAATACAGTTTTTAATATATTATCTTGGAAGGTGGTGGAAACAGTGCTAGCTAAACCATTTGATAAACTGTCTTCAGAAAATTGCCAAATATAGAATTTACTGCACCCATACCAGAAATTTAGATGTAATGCAGGCATTCAAAGGTCCAAATCAAGAGGTCCTTACCCAGGCAAAATTTCCATTGTCTAATTAGAGACTTCAGAACTGGACCCAAAATGTTTTAAGTGATCAGTTATCTTTCATGTATTTTAGTATGGCATGTATACCTTAGAAGCACTTATTTATTTAATAAAGTTTTGACTCTTAAGATGATTTTATTATTAATGAAATTGAATGTGTAAAACATTTTAACTTGATTCAAGGGCCAATTAATTAGCATTCATTCTAATTAGAATTAATAAATGTGCTGTAGGAAACATTTTTCATGATTATTTTGCATTGTGAAAAGAAAATTATAGAAACTATGTTAACTATGAAGATACTGTCAAATAATCAGACATGCAACACACATAGATATTCTAACAGGAAAGTAGAGAGGAGAGATTTCAGATATATTCCCCAAACTTAGAATTTTAATAATCTGTTAATTTCATTTTTGCATTTCCTTTAGAGAAATACATTCTGTGCATGATGTATGATGTCCAGGTTCCCATGGAACTGAGTCTCACAGGCTCTCCATAAATCCTCTGCACTTTGACTTTATAAGGGCAAATTTAAACTCAGTCTCTCTGATCTGCCTGTGGTTACAGCCACCATGTATCCTCCTCACTGAAGGCCGGAAGAATATAGACTGCAAAAGCTGAAAAGAAAACCAGAATTTGGCCTCAGATCTCTGTTGCACTTTGATCTCTATCCAGAACTTCCACTGACATCAATAATAGTTCTGTGCATGTATCAGAAAAGATAACTTTTGCCCTACATTGACAGCTTTGCTGTTCAGCTGTAAATACCAAGGCAACATACTGTTTTAAGACCTGCTACTGTTTCATATTTAATTTCATCAAACTGATTTGTAGCTGCAATTAGGATTAAAACATGGCTTGTTTGCTTTCTCTTGGGGTAGGGAATCAGATGATAAAATTTCAGAGATACTAATTAACAGCACAGTATTAGTTTGGACAAAGTGCACATAACACTGGATTATGTTTGTATTTCTTCCAACAAAGAGGGGGAATGCGACAATACAGTATGCCAGCACCTTCAGCTCAGAGGTAGAGTACCAGTGTCTTTGGGAAGCTAATGCTTCAGTACATACAGTATATCACCAGTAAAGCCATATCACAGTTTATGAAAAATTGTGTATCCTTTCCATATGAACTTTCTGAAAACCAGGTATTTTGCACATACTGGCTATTCAAGTAGGATTTTATGAAGTTGCGGTTTACAGTCAATGTAGTTAGAAGTTGGAGTATGATAAACTTGTATTGTATTTGGAGTTTTTTATTGTAATGATATACTATACATTTGTTTAACTGAAAAAAGCAAAAATATGTTGCTTTACTGTGGATTTATTAAATCAGTTATTAAACTACACATTGCTGTCTTATAAAATATTTATTCATACTGCTGGCTCTAGCCTATTTCTTTTGATTCCCCTTGCAATTACGTTTTGTAGTATTCCTTACATGAAGTCGTAGGTGAACTCAGTTTTGAGGTACTATATTTAGATCACTGGCTCACTTCCTTATACAGGGTCATCACCAGTCTTTTGTCTTCCACCATGTAGTGCTTATGCTTTTAAAAACACACAAATTAAAGGTTGTTCTGTTATCCACACTTTCTTTTAAGTACCTAGCAAGACGATTCTTGGAACACTGTATTTAGTTCTGGACCTCTTGTTAACAGAGCAATATAGAAAAAATGGAAGGAGTGATAGGGGAATGAGCGACAGGGGATGTGGGAATGAGCGACAGGGGATGGATCACTTGATGATTACCTGTTCTGTTCATTCCCTCTGGGGTACCTGGCACTGGCCACTGTCGGAAGACAGGATACTGGGCTAGATGGACCTTTGGTCTGACCCAGTAGGGCCATTCTTATGTTTTTATGTTCTTAAAAGAGCAACAAAAGGCTAGAATGTTGATTCCATTGTCCCATCTCAGGGAAACTCTCAAATATAAATTCCTGTAGCTCCTTCTAACTAAACTCAACTATAATAACTGAGTAGGGATCACTAGATGAAAATTTAGATTTGATTGTCCTACCTCCAGATCTCTACTTTGTCCTTACAAAATACTCAGGGTGAAGGGCTTTCTCTTTTATCCCTTTGTATTTCACTCGAGAGAGCAGTGTATTGAGGGCAGCCCATTATTAGCCTTCAATAATGTAGTTATCCCAAGGTAATAGGAATACAATGAAAGATTTGTTGCTATTTTTAATGCTCAGAACAATGGAATAAATTAAGCACAATAAAAGGTATGAAAAACATCAGAGTAGGAATGTGTATTACAGAAGGTAACTGGGATGTTCCCTGGAGATACCCAGGACTGTAAGGTACCTTGCTACCACGTGCCCTTATAGGGACAGTCCTGATTTTTGGGTCTTTTTCTTATATAGACTCTGTGATGGGTTGGGTCACAGAAACCCCCTTGGGAAGTGCAACTGATGTGCCAAGACTACTTCTGCCCCTGCTTTCCTGCCCTGGCAGATTAGGACTCCAGCACCCTGTCTTGTTGAGCCAGACACACCAGTCTGCTCCAACCCAGACCCAGGATCTGAACCACATGCCCCAAAGACTTAACTGAAAGCAGCTTACAGAAGTGTTCCTGTCTTTAACAATCAGATGCCCAACTCCCAATGGGGTCTAAACCCAAATAAATCTGTTTTACCCTGTATAAAGCTTATACAGGGTAAACTCATAAATCGTTTGCCCTCTATAAAACTGATAGAGAGATATGAACAGCTGTGTCCCCCCCCCCCCCAGGTATTAATACATACTCTGGGTTAATTAATAAGTAAAAAGTGATTTTATTAAATACAGAAAGTAGGATCTAAGTCAGGGGTCGGCAACCTTTCAGAAGTGCTGTGCCGAATCTTCATTTATTCACTCTAATTTAAGGTTTCGTGTGCCAGTAATACATTTTTAACATTTTTAGAAGGTCTCTTTCTATAAGTCTATAATATATAACTAAACTATTGTTGTATGTAAAGTAAATAAGGTTTTTAAAATGTTTAAGAAGCTTCATTTAAAATTAAATTAAAATGCAGAGCCCCCCAGACAGGTGGCCAGGACCTGGGCAGTGTGAGTGCCACTGAAAATCAGCTCGCGTGCCACCTTTGGCACATGTGCCATAGGTTGCCTACCCCGATCTAAGTGGTTCCAAGTAGTAACAGACAGAACAAAGTGAATTACGAAGTGAAATAAAATAAAACGCAAATCTAAGCCTAATACAGTAATACAACTGAGTACAGATAAAATCTCACCCTCAGAGATGTTTCAATAAGTCTCTTTCACAGACTGGACACTTTCCTAATCTGGGCACAGTCCTTTCCCCTAGTACAGCCCTTGTTCCAGCTCAGGTGGTAGCTAGGGGATTCCTCATGATGGCTCCTCCTTTGTTCTGTTCCACCCACTTATATATCTTTTGCATAAAGCGGGAATCCTTTGTCCCTCTCTGTTCCCACCCCCTCCTTCTCAATGGAAAAGCACCAGGTTAAAGATGGATTCCAGTTCAGGTGACATGATCACATGTCACTGTAAGACTTCATTACCCACTTGTCAGCACACACATATACAGGGAGACTTACAAATAAAACAGAGCCATCTGCAGACAATTGTCCTGGTTAATGGGAGTCATCAAGATTCCAAACCACCATTAATGGCCCACACTTTGCATAATTACAATAGGCTCTCAGATTTATTTTTCATATTTCTAGTTTCAGATACAAGAGTGATACATTTATACAAATGGGATGACCACACCCAGTAGATTATAAACTTTGTAATGATACTTTACAAGAGACCTTTTGCATGAAGCATATTTCAGTTACATTATATTTAAACTTATTAGCATATTTTCATAAAATCATATAGAGTGCAACATTACAGGCTCCTATTACCCCCCACCCCGTCCCGATTTTTCACATTTGCTGTCTGGTCACCCTACTTTCAGTAGACACCTTACATGACACTCTAGTGAACTAGGATGCAAATACCAGACACAGGGTATCCCTGCAATCCCTATGCACCCCTGTGCCCTCTGCCAGCTGGCATCAAGAAGTTCTTGGGTCACAATAACATTTTGTATATAAGAAAAGCCATAGAAAATAATGTTAAAAAAACTTGTTTAATTTGCAAACCAAAACTGTCACGAGCATGAACAGACACACAGGGCCTGACTATCATTTATACAACTCTGGCACTGTGACGGGGGCCATACGTTGGATCTGAATTATATTTATACCCACTGTAAGATCTCGTTACACTGCCAGGGTAATGTAAAGGAACCTTATTGTAAATAAGAATCAGCCCCAGAATCTCTCAATCCAAGAGACCAATATACCTACAAAGAACGACTGGATATCCCAATAATTACTTCTAGTGCTATCACAGGAAGATTTGTACAGCATTAGCCTCCACAACGTTGCATGCAAAATCCTTCCACCACCACAGTGAGTGGAAACACATCTGTTCAGCATGACAGTTGCTTGCCAAACCCCATGTCAGTTAGACAAGTTTAGAGCCTCCGGAGTCTGCATCCCTACTTTCTGGGGTGATGCTGGGAGGTTACTAGCCTAGTACCTAGCTAAAATTCTATTATGGTATTGTACGGGGAGACTTTGGCAAACCAGTAAAGTGCCTAAAACCACTATGGCTTATTGTTAAAAAGCAACCTAGTCAGCAAGCTGTAAATTGGCCAGTCAGCAAACTCAGCTTGACCAAGGCAGGAGGAGAGGGGGTTTTGGGGTGCCACAGAAGGGGCAGCTTGACCCCGCGTCCTTCCTGATAAGAATTGTGTTGAAGTTGCTGATACATGCATTTTAAAAGAGCAGGAATGTCTATTGGGGTCTCAGAGCTGCAGACTCTGGAAAAACCCACGCCTGGTTAATCAATAATCAGAAGGAACCTCTTGCTTGAAAAGGCTTACTTGACAAGTTTTCTTTAAGGGACATGTCATTGTCTTACTAATGTATAAATAAGGGGGGAAAGGCTTGAGATAGGTGGGACTCGTTTGGGGACTGGTCTCTCCCTCTGGATGCATCTTGTGTTCCCCAGCGGCAGACGGGCTGCCACTGTGCCACTCGAAAGCCACACTCAGCTTTGGTAATTATCAAGGGTTGGGGGTGTTTTACTAACTTGTTGCAGATGTGTGTAAGTGCTTGAGACTAGTAAAGTTTAGCTTTAAGTGAAAGCACTCTTGTGTTGTCCTCTTTGTGCCAGCCATCTATCGGTCAGACGGCTGTGTCTCCCCTGATTTATTTCCTGACACCTTCTCGCACAGAGTAAAGTTACCAAGAGCTTTGGGTTGAAAGAACCCCGGGTAACAGTATTACATATACCTATATCCTTGTATAGTGGACATGCCAGAAGATTTATTACTGCATGAATCTTGCTGCTTTCCTTCTTGTGAGTACGATACAAAACCATGGGGAGGTTATTCCATCTGTTGGGCTGGAGTAACCCTTGTCTGACACCACCAACCAACCTATACGCTTGTCCAACATCCTGCCAGCTAATGAATAAAGCGGGACACGACATTAGCAAGATCTTGTCATATTTTTGTGAGGTTAGGTAAGAGTGGCCATTCCTATCACTGAAAGTCTGCTTCACCTATCTTTTAGTGCCAGCTTTAGGGCAAAATTCGCTCAGATCTGCACTGTGAGTGCTTTATTCACACAATATTTATCTTCTCTGTTACATATCCTGCACTTACTCCTTATGCAGAAGTTCCACATATGAAGCTAGTGCAAATGCAAAAAATGCTCTCCCGTGCAGATTGGAGAGAGGCGTGTCCGTAAAGCACAATTTCCTCTTTAACAAATACATTTTACTTCAAATGCAGAAGGAATAGATGTAAACCTTCATTCTACAGGGCATAAACCAACCTCTAACTGTCTAGCCTTGGAGAAAAAACTTCGCCTATGGGCTGGTTATTCCAAACTGTCCATTCCTCCCTCTGAGCATAAATACTGCTCTAGTTGGGGCCCACTGTGTGATCCAGGAACTCCCATGTTCCTGTGGAGAAGAATGAGAACACTGATATCTCTCTCCTATGAAACTCATGATTTATTCCAGGGTCTTTCCTAAGAAAGAAATGGAGAGAAACCTATCATTTTCACCAAAGTGATGGTGGTTTCACTGCCAAGTCTAAAGAAAGCATACAGTGTTTTAGCCCTGTTGGTCCCAGGATATTAGAGAAACAAGGTGGGTAAGGTAGTATCTTTTATTGGACCAGAGCTCTGTGTAAGCTCAAAAGATTGTCTCTCACCAACACAAGTTGTCCCAATAAAAGATATTACCTCACCCACCTTGTCTCTCTGTCTAAAGAAAAGTATTTAACAAAGTTATACGC